GAGCGCGTTAAAAGCCTGTAATTAGCAGCACGGAATACTGAAATAAATGCGCCTCCTTTTGTTTGGGTGCAACACATGCTGGTAGAGTAAGTGTGAAGTTTACACCAAGTTTGTTATTTCCCTCACTGAACTACAAAAATCAAATAGAAATTCAGTCATATCGGTTGCCTCTTGGATATCGCTTTGTAAGCTGTAGCTCTTCAAAGCGTTTTTCTGGATTGTCTTCTAGCGGAATTGGCATCTGCCCTACACAGTCATGTGTTTCACGACGATAATCCGGTCGTTCGCGATGTCGTGTCAGCGCGATTAGGTCTGGATCAACGCGCGGCGACAAAAGTCGGTATCCTGGTATCTAAATTTTTAGGTGTGCTAAACAACACAAGTTTTTATCTTGCAATTTGAGCAAAAACATGGAGTAATATAAGCAGTTTAAACACGTCTGGTTTTTTTCCAGCAAATGCAGTTTCAAATCTCTTTGATTCAACTGTGCTGGGTATGCTAGTGGATGATAATTTGGCGAAAATGAAGCGGTAATTATTAAACGACCGTTACTGATTCATTTTCGGCAAACGGATTGTTTTACCTCATGTTACCCCTTGCCAGCGCTAGCTCCGTATCCCACCGATACAAACTGCTGACTAGTGTCGGGGAGATGCGAAACTAGTGTTGGCAAAGACACCGGTGAGGTAAAACAATCCATTTCTACGTCTGTAAAGTTGTGCTGAAGCAATGCAAAAAGATATAAGAATGAAATAAGAATGAGAAAGAATGAAATAAGAATGAGAATGAAAAACTCCAGTAGCTAAAAGGGTATCAGCTGCAAAATCGTAAATTTAAGTTTTATCAACCAATACAAAAGTGAGACCGCCTGATCGACGTCATCGATGAACGGTCTGGTTGCGCGTGCTTCTATCCAGTGCTTGTAATCCAGATGAAAGCCAGTCGGATCCCCAACGTAGTCGCGTAGAAACATTTGCACGACTCGATGCACGAATATGTACTGCATCGGCGTCTCAATGCAAAACGGACGCTGCGAGCGCAATAACTGCACTGCCTTCTGCACGCAGTGCTGCAACAAAAATAATGAGGTGAAACGCTTTGTCCCGCAACTGCGGATTGTCCCAATGTGAACCAAACATGCTGAGCTTGCCTAGGCTTTCATTGCAATGCCATTCTGGAAAATTTATTAAAGTTTTCCCGAAATCCCTTCCACCACCTTGATGCATAATTTTGGCGTTGTGTTGTCAAGTGTACCTAGCAGCTAGCTTTTACCACCTTTTTTTTGAAGAACAGTACTGCTTCTTGCTACTAGCCAGTTGTTCCTTTTTTCTATTGTTTATATTGTTTGCATATAGTATAGCCATAAAACTGTTCAATAAAAAGATATTCGGTCGTAAACTGCCAGAAATTTCTTGCTTTAATCTCTCCCCACTATCGCGAGTAGATGAATGAAAACCAGTGGCTTTAGAATCTGCCACAGAATTGCTAAGTGATAGTTTGCCCCTCTGAAATTAACAAGACTGGGACCATAATAAGCAACAGACGAGCAGACAGTCTAAAATTTTAAAATAGCAAAAGCTAACAAAACGACATAGCCTAAAATCACCAAAAGAAACGAAGCCCGGGCATACCTCGAAATGACGAAACCCCGCTACGATGGAGGGACTCAATTTGGTAGAAGAATCTAGCGATACGTTTGAAAGAACATAAAAAATTTCTATCCGTGAAGTACTAAGTAAAACTTAGAAAAACTTAATAGATGGGAATTCTTCCCCGGAACCAAACAGCAGTGCGGCAAACAAAAAATAACGGAGGATCTGCGACGCAGTCAAAATTTGTTAAATGAGAGCGACAAACAACTTAAAGGAAGGGTACCTGTCGAGGATTTTTAGGCAGAACAGCAGCTGATTCCAATAACTTTCTTGTGCGAAAAATAACACGAAATTATAGGCTTATTAGAGCAAATTGGGTTATAAATGCACTTGTCTTTCAGAACGCATATTCCAGTAAAAACAGAGCACTGAGTGATCACGCCATTTGTTAGCTGCGGGCTAGCGAACATCTTGCGTCTTATAAGACGAAACTTGCTTACACTGTAGGACGGCCCTTTGAGCAAGGAAGCAATACATATCTCTGCAGCAACCAATGTTGCGGATCGGCTGATGCCGAGGTGACAGTGCACTACCGTTGGATAGGAGCAGTTTCTTGCAAGCCGTAGCAACTGCACTGGTAGCGCAACATTATCCGAATTATTCATATCGCCCTGCCAGTGCTCAACACGCAACTACAAAATCAATTTTGATTTCAAGTACTTGAAGAGCCGCGAAGCGAAAATTCGGTTTAAAAACAAACAAATCTGAATATTCGCTGATTATAACTTGTGTCATAGCAACACTGTGTTGGTTCTCTAGCTGTTTTGATGTAGCTGCAAATAACGTTATTCACAGCTTAAGGCTCAAGGCAAGCAGAAAACTAATTCTCCTTCGAATAGTCGAATCGTTTCGAAAGAAAATTGGTTCTGAAATGCTTAGCTGTCAGGGGAGCCACTAACTTAAAACAATCCTAAAAGCACAGCGTTTGAAGCTTTAATAGTTGACCTTATGCTATGCTACAATTCAAATTACTTCATCCAGATATAGGGACTTAGAAAATTAGAAAACAGCCGCTCGCTGAAGTGCAAACTGGTCAAAGAACGGGATGTTCGAAGGATGACGAAGTCGCATAAAATATTCGCGTACCTTTACGTGAGAAACAAGCATACTTAGGAACTGAACCTCGAGCCTTAGACTGTATGTGGACAGGGAAAATCTCCATAAAACTTCAGCTTCCTAGCTTATCTGATTCCCGAGTTAACAATTTTTTCGCCAGGAATTTCAATTCTGCACGTGAGGGCTAGGTCCATTTAAGGGCTGAATTTGAAATTTTTGCATCGCACACGGATAGCGAACATCCTCTTCAACTTTTTGACTTTTTGGGTCCTTGAATTAGCATTTCTCCGTCAAAACTTTCGCGCGCCACTATGCAGAGCCAAGCATACTTGGAAAATAAATTTGAAGACTTTATATTATATTTAGACTGAGAAAATCCTCTTTAAATTTCAGCTTTCTAGCTTTTCGGATTCCCGAGCTAGCCCCTCGCCAAAATTCCACGTATTCGTACGCGAAGTTTAGGCGTGCACGAAAGTTCATACTACCTTTTTGGGACAGCACTTCGCTAAGGAACCCCTGGCAAAAATTCAGCGCCAGAGCTTGCTTGTTTGCAGAGTTGAAATACCTGGACAGACAAACAGACAGACACTCAAGCACACACACCATGGCTTTTACAATGTGCGTTTTTTAATTTGTATAAATGTGCAGTATTGTATAAAAAGAGATTGGTTCCTAGCCCAAAAAAAGGTATCGGTCCCGCCAATAAAACCTAGGCTGGAACGCACCAGGTGGTGCGGTGCGACCATTTGTTTTTGCACTTTGCGTGCTGTCGCAAGATCGCAAGGAATTACAGTAGCTAGCCCTGTGACATACTGGCCCTCGAAGCTCGGAAAGTTAATTGTGCAGCTATGTGGCATGTCAGTTGTAGGTGTTGACTTCAGTGACTTGATAAATAGAAAGCTGTTGGCTCGCGAAAAAGGCCCTACTAGAAGAGTTAATTTTGAAATCTTTTAGTCGCTCATGAGCAAGGAACATTCCCTAAAAATAAAAGCCTTCCAGCTTTTCTCGTCCCCAAGTTAGCAAGTCGTGATCACGCATGTGTACTACCAGTACCAACGACACATATTAATCACAAACCCCCTACACAATACGTACAGTGGCATTTCTTACCCACTTTAATAATTCCTTAATACCCTTTCGCCGTTTTCTTTTCATATTTTCTCTTTAACCCTAGCAATTTTTCCGCAAAAATTTTCACGCGCCTGTACGTGAGTGCCGGATGGCCTAGGGAGCTAAATT